TTTGTTGTGCTAATGTTTGGCGTTTTTATGGCTTGCAGCAAATTTGATTTATTGGCAGAACTTAAGCGTTGATTTTGTTTGCAAAGTTGTGAAAAGTTTCTCGAGAGCAGAGTGTGGAGTGGAGTGGAGTTCATCATATAATTGATGCGATTTGCGGTTCATAAAGTGCAATTGCCTGTAAAGTTGACAAAAGTGAAGAAAGACAAATGTTCTCACCCATATGGGTAGATATTTTTGTTGCCCTGCCCTGTCTTAAGATTGATCTATGGCGACTGGAGACTGACCTCAAAAGATGATCTATTAGCAGAGCAGTTAAATGTATGCCCAAACTAGATCAGATCTCCCTTCACCCAGTTGAACTGGAACAGAAGTTTCTCATTTCCCATGCCAGACACAGACACTGCCACAACCACAGCCACAACCAGAGCTGCAGCCACAGACGACTTTGACTCTGACAACGACGAGTCGCCCTCATTAGTTGACCCAAAGTGTCCGAAAACTATGCAATTTACATGCACAGAAGCCCCTCCGCGATAGAGCCCACGAGAACCCAATAGACCATGGAAGATAACAGCGGAACAGACACCAGAGACACCACTAGAGACAGCAGACAGAGAACGAGTCTCAGGTATGAAGCGGCAGAGGGCCAGGCCAAATGGCGAGCGAATTATGTTGTACGAGTGGCTACGAGTGGGGGTAAAAGTCCGTAAGATCGTTGCGGGGCGATACATAAAATTTGAATGCGTTTTGCATACATTAACCCACTGTGGCTGGCCATCGGTGGTAGTCATAGCCCCTAGGGGTGACCATTGGGCATCGTCTCTCTGCACGTTGACTAGAGTTAACGGCGACCAGAAAATGTGTTTATTAAATTTTATGATTATTGGCCTGCAATTGAGCTGCTCGCTCGCCTTGGGAATGTGTCGCTGGTCCAAGTCCCAGTTCCAGTTCCAGTTCCAGTCCCGTTCCCCCTTGCGTTTCGTTTGTGAAAATTGAAATTTTATGCGCACAAGACCCATTCCGTATCCATTCCATCAAAGAATGGTATAGAAATGGTCTAGAAATGCTCTGAAATTCTCACGCGTAACTGGATCATTTTGGTGGCTGTATCTGTAGCTGTAGCTGTATCTGTATCTCCCCATTGGTGTTCGTTTACCATTTGTGTTGCTAATTCAATTTACGTTACTGAAATGTTAATTAACTGAAGAGGTTCTCTCCTCTGTTGGGGGTTTCTCCTTTTTGGCTGTGTTAGTTTTTGGGTGTTTTCTGTGGGGGCTTACACATGTTCTGGTCTTGTTTTGTATCTGCCTAACGTGCCACAAATTGAAAGTCATTAAGATTTTATGGTGGGACACGTTCTCTGCGAGAGAGAGAGACTCTCTGACACACATCAATCAGTTGATGATGGTTGGCGGCTGGCTCGTTACGAATGCACAAGTTGACTTTAAACAGATATTGTGTTGGTCTAGTTCTTAAAGATCTAGCCGTGGAGGAGACATCTGTAGCTCACCTATTGGAAAACTAATTAGAGGCAAAAACTCAGTGACGGGGCGTGGTGCCGGTGGTGGCTACACATCGCTGGACAATTTCAACGTTCTTCAAATTGGCAACTAAGTAAACTTGAAGGCTGACGGCGTAGAGCAGGTCCGGCACCGGTATACACGCCCAGTTTTCAGGGGGGGGGGGACTTTGTTGTGGCTGCTTCGTTATGCAAATTTGTGTCAGAGAGGAGAGACGAAAAAAAAAAAAAAACAGTAACGACGACAAAACAAAAGACAAAAATGAAAATTTTGAGCTATATAGTAAATATAGCCCCGTGTATACATATATTTGAAGGCAAATGCAAATTGTATATAAAGAAATGCCCGAAAAAGACAAATAACAAAACAGAAATTTAAGCGCAACGTCGCGGATTTCTTCATCTTTGTTTTTTTCCCCATCTTCGCTTACTTTTTGGAATAAATAATAAACGTAAACGAATTAAAAACGTTGGCCAAACGAACTGTGGTCCTCCGGCTGCCAGTTGCCAGCGCTCAAGGAGCTGTCCCCTCGATATTTCTTGGATTGGGATTGTCCTTTGGTTTTTGTTTACTTGAAACCAAGTTGATGCGGCTTTCAATTAGTTTTAATTGAAATTCCGATTTGCTCAAGTAAAAGCAATTTGATTTTTGTCTTTAATTAAAGTTTTTGAAAGCATTTCAATGCAGATAACAAATTCGTGATTAAGTTGATCGTAGATTGAAGTTTTCGAGAGGCTAGAGAGTGTAGTTGTGGATGCACTTCAAAGGGAAGAAGTTGCATTGAGGCTTTGCGAAGGTTTTATTTGCTGAAAGCTTGATCAAGTGAAGCAATAAAGACTGAATGAAGGCTGAACAGTTTGACTATTTTAAGAGGACAATTTCTCACAGGAAGGAGAATATTTTACAATATGTTTTCTTAGCTAATAAATAAACGAAATGTTCGAAGTTCTCCTTGGTTCTACTCCTTCTAAGCTTCTCGAGCGATCAACTGTTGCACTTTACAACCATTTCTTCTACCACTTTCTTTTCAGTTTGATTAAGTTATTTCCAAGTTATTCAAAAGGGTCGACAACAAACCAGTTGCCTGTCATAACTATCTATAGAGATGTGTACACATCTACGGGTTATTGGCAACCTATCCTGTGGCTGGCATTAAAAGAACATTTTATTCAATTGCGGCCAGCGAAGGAAAACAAATAAAATCTATTTCTTTTGGTCACTTTGCGGATAGGAGTAGAGCCCATAAAATAAAATGAAATGATGCGTTGAAAGCCAAAGCCCGCAGCTACTTTACCCAAAAAAAAACACAAAAAAAGAGAAGCCGCAGAACGGGGCGGGGTTCGGGATTGGGGCCCATGTGTGTGGTTGGCCAAAGGATGGACAAAGCAGAGTGGTGCTTCCAGGGTGGGTGCTGCATCAGTGGGTGGGGGTTGGGATAACGTTTTTGGTTCAATAGACAACACACACACACACACACACAAGCACACTCGCGCAGAGGTTGAGGGGTCCAGAGCCATTTGATGATTTTTGCGTCACTGTTGGTCAAAATCATTTCGAGCGCAAGCAACTGGAAACTGTATAAAAATAATGAAATGAGAGTGGGAGAGATGTTGGAAAGACAGTGGAGAGAGTGAAGGAGAAAGAATACGAGACAGATAGAGATAGAAAGAGAGCGAAACGAAACCAACTTGAAATAAATGGTCAAAAGAAATAAACAGTCCCATAAAGAATAATCATTCAGAATTTCTGCTGAATTATGCATGAGGCAGGCAGTCCATGGTCCATGGTCCAGGAGCATCCGCAGCATACTGGACGCCACTCCAGCAAGGAGGCAGCCGCACCATCAGCGGGGGGTGTGGCACTCACATATGCGAAAAACCTCCTACCAGGCCACCACATCTCCTCCCTCTCCCTCTCCCTCTCCCTCTCCCTCTCCACTCCTGCTCCTGCTCCTATGTGGAAGCATCATTTTCCTCTTTATTATCTGTTTGTTTAGTTGAGGCAGCATGGGTGTGTGTGCGCTGGATTTTTATCAGCCTTCTAAGCAGTTAGCAGTTAGAACAGAATTCCACTTTCGGATACCCTCGGATTTGTAGAGGAATGAAGGGTGTATTGTGTTCATGGAAGCACTTGATTTACGTGAATTATATGGCAGTTTCTGGCCATCTGTCAGACCAAAATCAGCTTCATCGGACAATGTTTAAAACCAAAATAAATGCCTTCTCCAGGGCATCCTCAAGTCTATAGTTCTGATTCTTGTTTTGCTTTTTTCTTGTTGGTAGGTGGATAAAAGGAGTCTTTGGCGCTGGAGTTCGGTATCTCCCGCGGAGCTGTAGCTGATGCTGGATGGCTCCCCGACTGTTTGGTGGCGCTTGCCAAAAGTCAACCAACATTCGCATAATTTTCGATAAAGCTTTTCGCCAAATGAAATTCAAGTGGTTACACATGTCCCTGGCCAGGCCAGGCCCGACCTCAAACCCAATCTCCGCCTCGGGCCGCGGCGATTTTCCTCAATTCGGTTGGTCATTTTTCTTGGACAACCCCCACGAAAATACTCACACTCTACTTCTGGTTACGATGCTCAGTCATTCTCATTTCCACATTACGACTACGACTGCGAGTCCCAGTCCCAGTCCCAGTCCCAGTCCGATTGTGCCGCATCTGATTATCTCTGTTTTTGGTTGTTTGTTTGCTTAGTTCCCTTGTTGTTGTTTTTTTCCCTGATAATAAAAGGTAATGAAACCTCCAATAGAGAAATCTATGCGGGTTATCTATAAAGGGAAACCCATACCATGGCCCAAATATTTCACACTGTAATTGTAATTAATTTGCCGTGTCTAGTCGGACATGTCGGGACAGTGCAAAACTTTCCTAACCCTAAGCCACTCAGATCTTATACAATACCATCATAAATACGGCGGTGTTCTGTCTGGATGCCTCAGTTCGGCTCAACATTCAGAGAGCGATTATCAGATAGACAGACCGCAACAGACGCTTATGCCTGCGGTCGTGTCGATTGCATCAGATGCAACAAACAGATCGAAATCTTAATCAAAAATCAGTTGATCCCCACTAAAGTTCCAAGTTCTCAGCTTTTCCAACACCCAATAAACACGTTGTTTATAAATAATGTACAGTATATATGTAGACTATTATTAGAACATTGATAGAGTCGCGGGGTTGAGTTAGCGACTGCAATTTGTGTTTAAAAAAGATCGTGCGATCCATCGATTTGCATCGATCAACCCTCGCACCACTCCATTGGGGGTAGCGATAGCGCGCAAAATTGCAAAAGAAAAATCTGTCATTAATCTGTTATTGTTTACGTGAAATATACTCGCGCACTCGGTGGCACTCGTGTGTGGAAAAATGTTTCTAAAATGCGTCAATGAACGCATTTTCTTCTTGGCCATTGCTGATAAGCAATGTGACAATAATCAACATAAATAAAGCATAGAATAATAGATAATAAACACTTACATAATGTAGATCCAGACGGAGCGCTCTGTCTCCAGGGGGGGGGAGAATTTCAACTTTGATCTTGAATTGCATGTGCCAATTCAGCGGGTTCACCTGATAAGCGCCACCAGTCGGTGTCGATGATAGCGATTAAATGACTCGTGATCAAACCCCAAAGCTAATAATTTTTGACAGTCTGCTAAGGCTAGACAACAGCCATCAAGCGGTCATTGAATCATCAGAGAAACGTGAGAATAATTTGGCACATTTCGAGGGTATCGTATGAGTATCTGGCATGCCGTTGTGGCATCGCCTTCCTTCTTGCCGCCTCGACAACAGCAGCAACAAATTTCCATGCGCTGCAATGCCTGATAAGTGTATCAGCTGACTGTATCTGTATCTCTGTATATGTATCTGTAAGTATGATGAACGGAGGTTTAATTAGGCACTGCTGTAACATGAACATTCATAATTCCACTGGCATTCAATCAATGCAGTCGTGAATAAAACCCGAGTGATCTCCCCATCGATCGAGTGTCTCAATTCTCAGTACACATAAAACAAAGCCAAATAAACCAAATCTATAAATAAAATGGCGCAACGTGATGACAGAAATTGCTGTGCCAATTTGAAGAAAGGTAAGCAGACACATCCATGTATAAAAATTCCTGCCAAAGGTTTAATTTTGTGTAATTTCTGACAGATGAAAGCTGCTGTCAAGTGGCAAAGCAAATGCCTGTAAAGCCTCAAACCGCAAAGATGTTTCCCGACAAGATCTACAAATCTGTGCAGGCCAAGGGCGTGGATGCCACGGGCATGACCTGCGAGTGCGGAGTGTTTGGTGCCATTGCCTGCGGGGATTATCCAACACAGGTGTGGAGAGATTTTATTTAAAAGCAGTCTTTACTCAGAGACGGTTTTCTCTAATCTATTACTGCATCAAAGTGCTCTGGATTAATGTGTAGAATCGGAATGATGGCAGCGAAAGATCACAATCAGTTTATAGATCATAATACTCGTAATAGTTTCGATTATCGCAAACAATCCTTTGATAGTGCAAACCATAATCAACGTTTCACGAGCCGCACCTTAGTTTTCGATTCCATGCATGATTTATGGATCACTAGAGCTCACAATCTTCGCTGTCATATGCAGATCTCAGACGTCTGTCTGTATGCAAATCACTTGCAAGTGGGTCAATAGTGAGCCTTCTCCTGCTACCCACTGCTTCTGCCCCTACCCCCTACTGTATCCCCCCCCACTGATTTTGCCCTGGAAACTGAGTTTCTAACGAGGCTATGGCCAACGCCTGGTGTCTGTAGATGACGTCAATGAAATCGCAGCCACACGTTTTTTGCGGTTTTAATCAGTTGACGAGATGTCGATGTCATCGTCATCATCATCATCGTTGTTGTTGTTGTTGTTGTTGTTCCTGCTCTTGCTGGCGTTGTTTCTTTTGATGGTAAACAAATTGCGGAAAATAACAGGAACATACTAGAACACACTCAATCGGGGGGCAGCGGGATCACATTATCGGTTATTCTCCTCCTTCCCGATCGATCGTTAAAATTCGTTTGTTTATTCTTCCTGTACTTGCAGCTGGATATTGCTCAGATGATCTGCTTGGGTCTGGTGGCCCTGCAGCATCGTGGCCAGGAGTCGGCGGGCATTGTCACGAGTCAGGGAAAACTGACCAAAAACTTCACCGTGCACAAGGGCATGGGCATGATCAATAATCTGTTCAACGATGAGGCCATACGGAAGCTGAAGGGCAACCTGGGCATTGGCCACACCCGCTACTCCACCAGTGCCGCCTCGGAGGTGGTCAACTGTCAGCCGTTTGTGGTGCACACGGCACACGGTGCCCTGGCCATTGCCCACAACGGGGAGCTCGTCAATTGCGAGTCCCTGCGCCGCGAGGTCCTGGAGCGTGGCGTTGGCCTGTCTACGCACAGCGACAGTGAGCTGATCGCCCAGTCCCTGTGCTGTGCGCCCGAGGATGTGTCCGAGCACGACGGCCCCAATTGGCCCGCTCGCATTCGCCACTTCATGACCCTGGCCCCGCTCTCCTACTCCCTGGTGGTGATGCACAAGGACAAGATCTACGCGGTGCGGGATTCCTATGGCAATCGACCGCTGTGTCTGGGCAAGATCGTGCCCGTGGATGCGGGACATGCGAACATCGAGGACAAGCTGGCCGAGGGCTGGGTGGTGTCGAGCGAGAGCTGCGGCTTCCTCTCCATCGGCGCGAGGTATGTGCGCGAGGTGGAGCCTGGCGAGATCATCGAGCTCTCGCGGAACGGCTACCGCACCGTGGACATTGTGGAGCGGCCCGACTACAAGCGCATGGCCTTCTGCATCTTCGAGTACGTGTACTTTGCCCGCAGCGACTCCATGTTCGAGGGACAAATGGTCTACTCCGCCCGCCTGCAGTGCGGCCGCCAATTGGCGCGCGAGTCGCCGGTGGATGCGGATCTGGTGAGCTCCGTGCCCGAATCAGGCACAGCGGCAGCTCATGGCTATGCCCGAGAGTCGGGTCTGCCCTTTGGCGAGGTGCTCTGCAAGAATCGCTACGTGGGACGCACCTTCATCCAGCCATCGAATCGCTTGCGGCAGCTGGGAGTTGCCAAGAAGTTCGGCGCCCTGGCCCAGAATGTGGAGGGAAAGCGCATCACGCTCGTGGATGACTCCATTGTGAGGGGCAACACCATTGGACCCATAATCAAGCTGCTGCGCGATGCTGGCGCCACCGAGGTGCACATTCGCATTGCCAGTCCCCCGCTGCAGTATCCCTGCTACATGGGCATCAACATACCCACACGGGAGGAGCTGATTGCCAACAAACTGAGCGCCGATCAGCTGGCCGATCATGTGGGTGCCGACAGTCTGGCCTACCTCAGCGTTGAGGGGCTCGTGCGTGCCGTACAAATGAACAAGACCCATGTGAATCCCATCAAGGCGGGCTACTGCACGGCCTGTCTCACGGGCGAGTATCCCGGCGGACTGCCCGAGGAGCTTAGCTGGTAGTTGGGGACACTCCACTCCACTCCACTCCACTCCCTTAGCCTTAAACGTAGTTCTTAGCTCAAGTGTAAATATATAAATATATACTTTTAATTTTGGGTCTTTGCACCCCCCACCACACCAGCACCAAGCACACACATTCTAAATGCTAATGGCGAATGGCCATCAACGTCTGATTATTGCCAAAAACTGTCTAATGCCATAACTTCAATTCATTTCAATTTATATTTCCAAGCTCTCTGTTTGCCAGTTTCCGGCTCTCCACGGATATAGCCCTCATATCATACAATATGGTAATCGTGTTTGCTTTTTTCGCCATGTCTCTCCATCCGGTTGGTGCCTCCAACCCAGTCGCTGGTTCTCTCTTTTCTTTTCTGGCTTCTCCATTGGGGCGTTGCAATTTCTAAAGCGGGGCGTTTAGGGCGTTTAATCCTGCGGAAGATGTCCTTGCGGTTATACGTGGCAGTTGCTCTTCCGCCGCTCCACCTCCTCCTTCTCCCACTCTTAAGACATTTTTTTTGTCTTCTATTTTTTTTTTATGACTCGCCGGGTACTGGAGTCAACAATGTCATCATTATTCTTGAATATTGTGTTGTATTTTCGCAAACAATTTCGCTAAGCTGCGCGGCATTGGCGAAAGATGAGGGGTGGCATTAGAGAATGGCATGGCATGCCGCGGAAGTGTGTGGCATGGGTGGGGCAGGCATGGCATAAGAGAAGAAAATAATATGCGCCGTCATTGTAACTCGCTTGATTAATTCTTTGTGTAGGGTATCCATGGAAGAGGAGCAGCATTCTGGGTCTGTTATGGGGGAACTTTCATCGGCAAAAGATAATAGCAGTGATCGTTGGAGGACATTTAAAGGAGGATGTTAAAATGTGGAGATTCCTCTGTTTCCTCCATCTCTTATATAAAATTGACTTCTTCCCAGTAATAGTTTTCCCTTCTTTCGGTACTAATCTCCCCACTCAAAGTAGCGCATCATCGTGGTCCCAACAGTCCCGCAAAACCGCAACGAAATCTCTCCCATGACTCCAATCCCTGGCCCCACAAACCCGAAGTGGCAACATAAAAGAAACGACTGCTGGCAACATTGAAAACAGACGCTGGCACTTCTCTAACACAGCCATCCGCCGCCTGTCGTCCGCCGCCTTGCTACAAGGACATGAAGGAAGGACCAAGAAGGGTCCACGTCCACCCACACCCACACAAAACAGCTACAAAAAAAAAGGAGAAGAGAAATAATACTTATATAAGGAACAGTTTGCTTATGTGCGCCGTCGATCACAAGCACAAACACACACACAGAGCCTGGGCACACTGCCACTGCCACAGACAGTGACAACTAAGCACCCCACCCACTCCCCCACCCTTATCCAACCCCAATCCATGGGGCTTCATGCCATTCGCTCCTCTCCTTCGTTGCGCCACAAAACATGCTTTAAATTTTTTAATAACGCCAGGCTACAAGAGCGCTGACGCCCACGTCCGGACCCAGGGACTTCGGGTACTCCGGGTACTCCCGGACCGGGGATCCGGCTTTCGTGCCCTAGCCCCGCCCCTTGCCTCTGCCTCTTGCCTCGTCGTCATTTGCACAGAAGTTATGTAAATTAATGTTTACTTAAGTTCCCCATGTTATTCCTTCTTGGCATTTTGTTTTTTTTTTTGTTTTTCGCCTTGCACTTTCCAAATGTTTCCTACTTCAAAAACAAAAGCAGACAGCGACGAGGTGGGTTCGGTGTCTCTGCTGCTGCTGCTGCTGCTGCTGCTGCTGTGTTGAAGGTTGCCAGCCCCCAAATGAACGTTCAGAAAAAATTGCAATAAATTTGCGAGCCGCTTCTGCAATTTAATAAAAAGCATTCAGAGTGAGTTGGGACAACAGACTAGAAGTAGCCAAAAGACAGATGGAGGTGTGGAGAGGTGGGTGGCAGCATCATCATGCGGAGCATCAATATTATTATTGAGTCAAATGGCTGAGTAAATATATGAGCCCAAAATTATGGCAATGGCATGCAAATGAAATGGCCAACGATGTGGCAGAGGAGATTGGATGATTATGAAGCCATTATGCTGGCACTTTATTGAAATTGTCGCCAAAGAAAATTTAATTTAAACATCACACCACACAGAGGAAGACACGACATCCTTGACACTTGACACATGCAACAAGTGAGAGCTGCGTCAGCAGACAAAAGACAAACAAACAAAAGGCCTCAGACACCTTACACCTTACACTGTGTGCCAGCTCCATGTCCTGCCACGTCCTGCTCCTTGACAGGCACGCAAAACGTGCCTGGCATGCAAGACATGCGACGGCATGCCCCCAAGCGGCACAACGGATCAAATGTAATTTTCTGGCCAATAGAGAACACTTTGTGTGTCGCTCCTG